TGGACACTTAGGTTGTTTATGGTTTTTACTGCTATTACAGTGTTGTAGTGAGATTTTTTTGAACATCTATCCTTGTGTTTCTTTAGTGTAGATGTCCAGGAGTGGAATGGCTGAGTTGAAGGATCTATGTGTTTTCAAGGTTAATAGATACTGCCAAATTGTTCAGCAAAATGGGATTTTACACTCCTATTGATATTATGTGAGAATACCTGTTTCCCCATATATTCAACAAGCGTATTAAGATTTTTTGCACATTACTGTGCAAGAAAGGACACTTCATTGACTGTTGAATGAATAAAACACATTAATCTTTCTAAAAATTAAACTGTCATTAAATTACTTCTACCTAAACCATTTCATAAAAACATTGCTAATATATTGTGTATTATTAGAAATGATTCATGACTCCTTGTATTGAGCACATTATAGTATTGGGGGAAACGCTTATGCTAATTTTATGTTAAATGTGTACATACGTCATTGTCACATCTGAAGCAACAATGCATATTTTCAGTGATTATATTAGAAAATATGTCAAGTTGGTGGCAAGTCAAAGCATAGTTTTTGGAACCAGGTAGTAGTATCTAAATTGGTATTTTTGGGATTTAAATTTGGGATTTTCTTGAATTAAGAAGCTTTATAGGAATCTCTGCTGTTATTATATGTAAGGAAAAAGAAGATTAAAACTGGCTACCTTTTTCATCTTCAAGCATGTTTGTGGTTATCTTTTCCTACTCAAACTCATTACTGCTTTTTGGAATAATAATATTAACACAATTGTTGAATCAACTTAAAAGTACAATGTAAAACATGAAACTAGCAAACCATACAGGATTTTTCAAGTGTAAACTATCACCCGTTGGCCAAATCTGGCCTGTTGCTTGTTTTGTTAATGCAGTTTTATTGGAACACAGCTACATTTGTTTACATATTATTTGTCTATGGCTTTTTTTGTGTTACTTTGGCAGAATTGAGTTGTAGCAACAAAGATCATGTGGCCCTCAAAGCTTAAAATATTTACTATCTGGCCCGTACAGAAAAAGTTTGCTTGATTCCTGGTAGAGATCATTTTAAGGGAATCTTTTTAGATCCTCATTTTCCTTAAGTACTCTTTCCTAAAATCAATCTGCCTGAGAATGCTCTCTGTCACCATTTTTCATTTTTTCCCTTCTCTTCTCCTTTCATAGTCCTCCTCTCCCACATTACAAAAGAAAGGCTTGCCCCTTGCCCACACTGAATCTTACTGTGGTGCATTGCCCAGAGTATGAAAATCCCCAGGGACAGTTCCAAATATTGGGGTTATTGTTAAGAAAATTGACTCTAGTAACTAGGTAACACAGCTGAAATGGCTTCATATATAT